ATTGCCATAGCGGCCCTCACAGTAAGATATGTCTTAGTGCAGGGTAGGAGTAAACTCTAACATGTCGCTGGGTGTCACAGCACACTTATGATAGAACCCGTGATAAATTTATAATAATTAATCTGAAAGAAGAAATTCTAGAACTTTTTTGACCGAGTTTTTTATAGTGCCATTATGTCGAACCTATTTCTAATGTATCTTTATATGAGTAAGTGTTTGTTTTAAGTTCTTTTAATTGTCAGCATCATCTCAAATTTCAAGGCCTTTATATGCCAAAAATTTATTAATCATAATCGATCAGACCACAACAAATTCCGGTTTTCCTTGGCATTTGACTCTGATATCCGTGACAAAGTTTGCTTCGCCTTTAGCACCGTGAACGAAATTATTCACCTAAAAATATTTCTGAATTGCAAACATTATGAGGTATGAGCCTATACTTACCCTATTACAGTCATAACCCAGTAGAGTGTAGAGAACCGCAAATTTGCCATCAACATTAATAGCCTTATCGTGCACCAGATCCTTATTGTAAGTCACTCCTTTGCTTTTTACATAGTCATTCACCTAGAAAAAAACGGAGCACATGGGTTTTCTCACGGAGGCGTAGTTCCAAACGGGCTTACCAAGCTCTTAAAGACTTTCATATGTGAGTCATTCATAGATGGATCATACTTCTGATTGCTGACAACCATCACTTCAACACTTTCAACTTCACGTTTTCTTCCTCCAATAGTAGTAGCGTTAGAAGGCCCTGTTGAAGCAGCAGACTGTCTTGTAGCAAGTGAAGGAGGAGGCGGTATTGTAGGGATAGTAGGTTGTGGCGGGCACGCCTTGACATTACAGATAGCTTTAGCCCAAAACATGAGGCTAACCCTTATTCTGATTTTACCTACCAATAGAGAGCTGAACACTGTTGAACTGAGAAGGATGAGAAGAAACACCATTGTGTCAGTAGACAATGTTGAAGTTTCCGAATGCTCTTTTATATAGCTTGGACGCTTGTGGAGATTGTATGAGATTAATAGGGAAAAAACTACTTAGGCTATTGTTCAATAAATAAGTAAACTTTCAACCTTTGTAACTTTGCCCAAAATCATATTGTTAACACCCTCGTTAACACGATGAGAAAGTAAACAAATGTATTGTTTGCCTAAATTTCTCGATCAATTTCAACTTCTCATTTTGTCCTTTCAAAATAGCCAAGATGTCTGCTGTGAAATGACTGGAGATATATCAAATTTATCTTGCACCCCATAAAGAATTTTCATCAATACTTCCCTCTCAGACCAGCTAATCATGGCATGCACTACACAGTCTTCTAAACATATTGAAAAATGAGAAGAAACTCGTGAAGCGAATTTTTATTTAGAAATTATTTCTACCCAACGCT